CGTGGTTTCACTTAGCGCTATTTCGCTATAGCGCTCATTTAAAATTCATACCTGATTTCACTTAGTGCTGAGCCAGTTTCGTTATAGCGCTCAGCAAAGCAGTGGCGGCGCAGTGAGAAATGGTGAGTGGCAGCGAGTGGGCAGGCGGGAATGAGCGCTGGTGCTGCAGGGCCAGGGCAGCAGGAGCGGGGGGCCCGAGATGGAGAGAAGCAGCGGTGGCAAGCAGCAGCAACTGAGGGGGCAGCTTCTCACCACTGCCACCTCTACCCACCCCTCTGCCTGCCTGCCGGCAGCTCCAGCCCTACTTGCCAACATACACCCCGCACTCCTGCCACGTCGCCCTGGGCCCCCACCAGCCCTGGCTCCAGGCACTGGCGGACTTGCCGCAAAGCAAGTGGCGATAACCAATTATGTCTATTTATATTCATTCCTATGGAGAAATGGGTTTCGCTTAGCGTGGCTCCGCTTAACGCTCATTTTTTCCGGAACCAATTAAAAGCGTTAAGCGGGGGTTGCCTGTATTTGGAAACAAAAGTTTGAACGGTCAAATGCTCAACTTTATTGAAATCAGCACAGCTATGGCAATTTCAACACGGTTTAGGCTATTATCCATCAGCTGAGAATTTCACCATAGGAAATCCTCTAACTGTTTGTGGTTTGGATTCACCTCTTTATAGGAGACCTTTTCCCAATCATTTTCTACTTACTCAAGTAATGGGAACATTTCTGTTTGTGACTGGATTTAAACCTTTCCCTACGATAAATGCAAACCAACCACACCTGTGAAAGAATCAAGTACTACTTTCTTGGGAAAAAAAAAAAGTGAATGGAACCAGGTTAGGTTTCACTGTTGGAAGACAAAAGAAATGCAAAAGAAAAGGTCACCAACATGATGTGAATTTAGATTAAGATAAAAAGGTAAATTTCTAAATTTTTGCTGAAAGACCCAAGTATAAAAATAGTATTATGTTTATGGTAGTGTAAGAGAAACGTTGCAGCTATGCTGGTCCAGAAATTATGCAACAGGCAAGGATTTCTTACAGTGATATATTTATTTGGACCAACAAGTGCAGTTAGGATAAAAGTTAAACCAGCTTCTGAATGCAAGACGTTCTTTGTCTCTGATCACAAAAGCAGTATTACATGGTCTTTGATCACACGGACCTGAACCTCTTGCATCAAAATCTTGTCTAACTTTATCCCAACTACACCGTTGGTCCAATACAAGATATCACCCTAACAAATCCTTGCTTCTCATTGTGGCAGATGGCTTGGTGCTCCTACCTCTTTAAAAGCAGGCAGGCTCTGGTGAAAATAGCCTTCAGGTGGGGCCATGGCTGACTGTGGAGTCATATGACCCTGGAGGAGGGCTCAGCTGGGAGAGGATATAAGCTGGTAGTAAGGCCTGGAGGCTGGTACGGGAATATTGCCCAGCAGGAGGGCTGCAGCTGTGGAACAACAACTTGGAGAATAAAGCCAGCAATCTGGAGGCTTGGGGAGAAACAGATTTCTAGGGACCCGGGGAGGGGTCCAGAGCCCAGATTGAGGGCCTGAGAGTGTGGGATGAGAGTGGGTCCAGGAGCCTATTGAGGCGCTGAGACGGTAGGACCAGAGAAGGGACTAAGTGGGAGGTAACATTAGCAAGTGATGATACCTGTGGGGCATGGGGCATGGTGTAGGGATGGATTGGAGACATGCAATTAGCCCATAAGGCAATGACTGAAGACACCTGGCAGTCATGAGAGAGCAATTTAGGAAGCCCTGGAGCAGCTTCCTTCATTACAAAGATAAAATGCATCAAGGCATGGTGGGTGAAAGGAGGGGTGATTGCCCACAGACAGCGAGGGCTAAAGGGACTCCAGGGGCTTTGTGGCCACCCCTAGAGAGGCACCCTGCTACACCTATATTATGTTCATGTGACATTACTATGACAGGATGCTAGAACCGCCACCAAGGAGGAGTACTCTGCTTTGGTCCAGACCTGCAGGGAGCAAACCAGGAAAGCCAAGGCTGCGACTGAACTCCAGCTAGCTACAAATATCAAGGACAATAAAAAGTCCTTTTTTAGATACGTGGGGAGCTGGAGGAAAAGCAAATGCAACATTGGACCCCTGCTAAACCAGATGGGGCAACTGACGCCAAGGAAAAAGCGAACTTGCTAAATGGGTACTTTGCATCTGTCTTTCACCAGTCCCATGGGACGGCCCTGCCCACTGTGGGTCAGGGAGGCCCAGGTGAGGGAGATTCCTTGCCCTCCATTGAAGCTGACCTCATGAAGGATCACCTCAACAGGCTGGACACCTTCAAGTCAGCCGGCCCCAACAAGTTACACCCCAGGGTACTTAAGGAGCTGGCAAGCATCATAGCCCAGCCCCTGGCATGGATCTTCGAGAGCTGTTGGCGCTCTGGTGAAGTGCCCGATGACTGGAAGAAGGCCAATGTGGTGCCGATCTTCAAGAAAGGGAGGAAAGTGGATCCGGCAAACTACAGGCCCATCAGCCTGACCTCTATCCCGGGGAAGGTCTTAGAAAAGATTATGAAAGACACCATCCTCAACAGACGAGCTGACGGCAATATCCTGAGGGATACCCAGCATGGGTTTGTTGCGGGTAGGTCTTGCTTGACCAATCTCATTTCCTTTTACAACAAAGGGGACTTATCACCTGGACAAGGGAGAAGAGATCAACGTTGTATATCATCTCGACTTTAAAAAAAAGCCTTCGATTTGGTATCCCACAATCAGCTCTTGGCTAAACTGGCCAACTGCAGCCTCGACCTCACCACGATCTGCTGGCTGGGGAATTGGCTCCACGGTAGGACCCAGAGGGTGGTGGTTGACAGGAGCCAATCGTCTTGGTGCGCTGTGACCAGTGGGGTCCCTCAAGGCTCTGTCCTAGGGCCTTTACTGTTTAACATCATTAATGATGTGGACACTGGTGTCAGAAGCCACACCAGAAGACAGGCAGGTGATCCAGGCGGATCTTGACAGGCTCAGAAAATGGGCAGACGAGACCCTGATGGTGTTTAACACTGTAAAATGCAAGGGTCTCCACCTTGGGAGGCAAAACCTGCAGCATCCTTATAGGCTTGGCAGTGCTACGCTAGCTAGCACTATGGACAAGAGGGACTTGGGGTCACGATTGACCACAAGATGAACATGAGCCTGCAATGTGATGCTGCGGCTAGTAAAGTGAGCAAAACGCTGGCTTGCATCCATAGAGGCTCCTCAAGCAAATCCCAGGACGCCATTCTCCCCCTGTACTCGGCCTTGGTGAGGCCGCAGCTGGAGTACTGCGTCCAGTTTTGGGCTCAATTCAAAAAGGATATGGAGTAGCTTGAGATAGTCCAGAGAAGAACCACGCGCATGATCAGAGGTCAGGAAAACAGACCTTACGACGACAGGCTGAGAGCCATGGGGCTCTTTAGCCTGGAAAAGCGCAGGCTCAGGGGTGATCTGGTGGCCATGTATAAGTTTATCAGGGGTGACCACCAGGATTTGGGGGAACCTCTGTTCACCAGAGCGCCCCAAGGGATGAAGAGGTTGAACGGTCACAAACTCTGCTGTGACCGATTCAGGCTGGACATAAGAAAGAATTTCTTCACTTTGAGCCCCCAAAGTCTGGAACAGCGTGGCGCAAGGGACGGTTCAAGCACCCACTTTGAACACCTTCAAGACACATTTGGATGCTTATCTTGCTGGGATCCTGTGACCCCAGCTGACTTCCTGCCCCTGGGGCAGGGGGCTGGACTCGATGATCCTCCAGGGTCCCTTCCAGCCCTAATGTCTGTGAAATCTATGAAACCCTGTGCAGATCTGCAGAGCTAGTTTGCCGACTCACCGCAACTTCCAGAGCTGGTGATTATTAGTTCTTCAGTCTTATGTTTCTTTTTGAAAGAGAACTTAGAGCAGCAACAGCCAAGTTTAGGCCAAGGGCTATGCACATAATGCAACAAACCCAAGGAAAGAGGTAAATTTGGACAATAGCCGAGATACATTCACTAAAGAAGTGATGTGTAAACATCCCTTATGTACAAGTCTCTTGAACAAAGGAGTTTCAACAGCTGAACAAGTTTGCATTGCTATACATACTCACCCTGCTCCTGGCCTTGATGCGCTTGTACACAAAATCGGGGAACGGTTTCCTGGGGATGTATCTTCCAGACCCCTCAGTTACATGGAGGTTCCCATCCTCCAGCACAATCTTCCCCTGGCTGATAACCACCAGCGGAGACCCACGGCACTCCATGCCTTCAAAGATGTTGTACTCCAGAGCCTAGAGCAACAACAAACAAAAGATAAATCAGGCCAATGTGTTAGTCCCACCACAAGCTGTTACTTTGGAGGCCATGGCCAAGAAAAATCCCATAAGGTGTATGCTGAATTTTTTCAGTCAACTGTCCATGATGACTCCTGAATGTAGGAGTTTAGGTGAGGAACATAGGCAAGCCTCAGTGTTTTCTTCTAATACACATGCAGTGTTGTATAACATCAATCCCTGCTTTTACAATTAAGCTATACTCTTAATTCCTTAAGCCGTTTTCATTCGTGCCTCTTATTGAGGAAAGTGTCCCTGTACGCATTATAAATCTTCATTCACCCTTGTCGCCCATCCTTCCCAATTTCCCCAGGATAAAAGTCTTATCCAACCTACCAGACTTCCTGACGTCCCCCAGCTTAACTGGATATTGTTAACTAGGGTACCAGTGTCAGAGGAGCTTTAGGGCTCAAGTAAATAATAAACGCTTGGTAAATCATTCCCATTGAACTGCTCCCGAACACATTCTTTTATCCCCAAATTCTGACAGATATCGTGCAACTGAGAATCATGTTTAGAGGAGCCAAGTGGTACAGCCTGCTGTGCTTCGTCATCTCCGAATACTGTAGGCACAATTACTATCTTAATTCTAACAATTCCCAGCTGAGATCAGGGCCTCACTGAGCCAGTCACAGCACGTACACCTAGTGAGCGAGGGTCCCTGCCCAGGGGGAGTTCTGGGAACCCACTGCTAATTATAGAGAATCAGAGTTTGGAGTGAAAAGAACAAAAAAGTCCGTTTTGCATCAAGGCTTGGGTTGATAGGTCAGGACCAAGGACAATCCTGGCGTCACTTTACAGAACTGCTCATCCCCAAAAAACAGGATTGGACATATTGGTCTATGAAACAAACAACAAAAGAGTTTGAAAAGCAATGCTGCCATGAAGCTGTTACAGCGGTTAAGAACAGTCCCTCTCCTGGCCACCTCTGGGAGACGCACCAACTTGAACCAGGGCTTTTCTGCAGAACTCATGTCACGACCTGTTCTTTTGAGACGCTCCATCCAAGAGGCTTTCACTGCAGCTGTACAATGAGTTAGAAGGGTGGTTTAACTGAAAGTATTTGGGGTCTGATATGAAGAGGGTTGTGGTGGCAGAGAAGTCGGCTTGATTAAATGCACCAGGATCGGGGAAGTTCCACGAACAGCAGAGTTTGCTTCTCTAGCGTCTGACGTTTCCTTGCCACAGTGGCATGGTGATGGGAACTCCTGGGAAATGTACGTGCACCGCTCTCGTATTTAAAAATGCAGCAGAAGAATTTGGTGCCTCTAGTTCAGCAACTACAGTGTCTCCTCCAGAGTTTCAAAAGGGCTTTGGTTTTATCTGGAATTGAATGTGAATGCCTTGATTAAGGCAGCTGCTAGTTCTCTGAAGCACCATTTTGCTGGGAAGGCACAATAACTAACGGATGCTGTTGAGAACACGTCCTCACCCCAGAACACTTGCGAGCGCACATGAAGGCACAAGAGGTACGCGAGATGAAACAGAGGGGGAGGAGGAAGATAAGGTCCATGTCCTGTGCACAGAAGTCAGAGTTCACCCTTGCATTTTGCTTAATTTGTATAGCACCTAGCACAATGGGGGCCCACTCCATGACTGGGAACCTTCTACATCTTATTTCTTCCCCTCTACTCTGAAAACTCTTCTCTGGATGCTTGCTTGCCTGAAAAGGAAAAACTGACTGTATAGGAATTATTAGCCTTTGCTGCTTCAACTGAAAGTACCCCTTTCCTTTCTGGATGGGTTTATAACATAGTGACTGAGCTGGGCTATATTACCAATCCCATTTCAGCTCGTACACACTCTTTTATGAAGGGTCTCTCCTACACATCATAGCACAATGAAGGGCACAGTTACTAGATCAGGCACAAAGCTAGGACACAGGGAAAATGAAGCAAATATCTAAAAAAAAAAAAAATTCCTTTGTTCCTGTGCCCAAGGATCCATGTGTGCAGGGACATTTTGCTTTTTCAGCACTGGAGTGAATGAAACCATTCATGGAAAAAAAGCAAAACAAAACAAGGAGCTTTTTCCAAGGAAATATGCCCTAGGGTTTTAGCCAGCAGCTAAACAAGTTGTAAACAGACCCACACAGTGGCTGTTTTCTCTCCTTAGTGCTGTGAGGTCATGGGGAACTTGGACCAGTCTCTCCCAGTGACCATGCTGTATTCCCAGTGACAGTTTTGTATATAAGGGAGTTCTGTATTCTCCATTAGGACAGCAGGTACCCACTTACACAAAACTGCTGGAGCATGTGATACAGGGGCTGGACTCTACTGGTTGCAACAGAGCTACAGTCTCAGACGGTATCCATCGGTGTAGCCACATCAGCTATCAGAAGGCTAGTGGTGGAGATCCAGGCTACTGAATAAGGCTAGGGGGATTGCTCCCTATCATCTACTCTACTCACCCTGACCTCAAAATACTAGCAGCTGACCCTGCAAACAATCCTGACCCATAGTAGCACACAACTCCCAGGCAGGCTCTCGCCAAGACTATGTATGGCAGTACTTACACCTGCGTGCAGAACAGCCTGCCAGAGCACAGGTCTGCATCAGAGTCCTGTGTATGCACTGAAAGAGGATCAATTTTGTACAGAGAGTGCCTGAGAGACTAGGCAGGAAACAAGGCCAGGATGGTCACCATGCCTAGTTCTCAGACACAGAACTGAGTGCCGAGAGCCACTGGCAGAAGAGCCAGTGGGGCTTAGCCGCAGAAGGTACTTACTATGTTATGAGTCTTCGCAGAGATCGTCTTGACACTGTCAGGGTCCCAGATAACTAAGTCAGCATCAGAACCCACTGCAATGCGCCCCTTCCGAGGATACAGGTTGAAAATCTTAGCTGCATTTGTGCTGGTCACAGCCACAAACTGGTTCTCATCCATCTTACCAGTCACCTGGTGAAGGAGCAAAGGAGCCAGCAGGTTAGCAGAATGCAAGCAACCACAAAAAAGCAAATGGCTCGTGACAACCCACCGACAGCAGATACCGAATGCTCCTTTTGGAGGAGAGAGAGGCCCACGTATGGAAAAGGGGGTCAGGACTGAACAAAGAAGTGGTGCCAAGAAGTCAAGCGCAGCAACTCCAGGACTGCTCTATCGGACACCACTCCTGGTTCAGCCCACCCTCTGGGAACTGTCGAGGTGGGCAGTTCGTCCCGAGACAGAAGTAAAACAACATACACTAGCCCTTCTTTTTAGCAAAAGGAAAAAGGATGTAAACCACATGGATGGGATCCAGCTTCCTCAGTGCACGTGCGAGCACAAATCTGAGTCCTCCCTGTGACGTACCACAGCCTTATCCCAGATGATGGACATTCTTTCTTCAGTCCCGTTGGTCCCTTCAGGGATCAGGGTAAAGTTATCCTTTCCAACAGCTTTCTGGGCAGTGTTGAAGGTGCAGTGGGCACTACCAGTTACTTGAAGGTCTCCACTGAAATCCAGAGATGGGTGACAATTACTTTGGATATTTTGTTTTCATTGCAAATTTATAATTCAAGTCAATAGTGGGAGCCAAGAGCCTGAGATCGAGTGTAACAGAGACGCTGAAGCACCTAACTTTGTAAAATGGTAGCAGTAGCAGGTTGTTATCCTCAGTGACCAAGTGACATGCTTAAATTGGGTGTTATAGGAACATGCAGCCTCTTGTACTCACCAAGACAGCAGCGAGTTGAGAAAGTCAGGAGTGGTTGGGTCAGGACTCAGTGGGGGGGAAGTGACAAAGGCTGCTGCCTTGGCCCAGTTCTTACTCCAGTAATGAGATCCATCCGTCCCCAGGCTGGCTGTGATGGGTTCGCCATATACCACAGTGCCTATAGGAGAGGAAGACATCAGCCGGAAAACTAAGCACCACAGTGGCCTTATAGCAACTTGAATGTCTGACTGTTTCAGGGCACACATCCTTCTACATAGAAGATGGCAAGAAGATATAATTTCCCTGTGGGAAGGTTCCCATCACTGCCTATGTGGATAAAAGGATAAGGGGTCAGATATTCTAGGTATGTGAGGGAGTGTTGAAGAACAAGGATTTAGTCTGGCAAAGAAAGGACTGAGGGTGGATTTCACAACAGGCTTCAAATAAAGATGGTGACTGATTGTTTACAGTGGGTAAGACAAGCAGTAACGGGCTTACATGGCAACGAGGGAAATGTAGGTTGGGGGTTAGGAAGACCTTTCTAACTAGGAGGGGGGTTCATTTCTGAAACAGGTTCCCTGGAGAGGGGGTAGCATTTCTATTGCTCAAAGTGTAGATCAGAAAACATCTGTCTGGATTGGTTTGGAGGATGATCCTGCCTTGAGCAAGGGACAAGATTAAGTGACCTCCTAGGTTCCCTTCCAGCCCTACTTTTCTCTGATCCTATGATTCTGCTGCAGGGTTTCTTGTCCTTTCCTCTGAAGCTTGCAGTAATGGCTACTGTTAGAGACAAAACACTACAGCAGATAAACTCCTGGCTTAAATCACTTTGACAATGGCTATATTCCTTCCTGTGGAAATCTGATGTCGTAAAAAAAAAACCACGACATGTACCGGTAGCACTGAGGCCCCGAATGATACTGGCGCTAGGCTCTGTACATACAGAGAACTCCTAACCCGGGAAAGGCTGCAGTCTAATAGAAAGTCCAACCAAGGGGGGGAGAAATGATGAACCCTCTGCCCCATTTCATGGATTATGATTTTGTCAAAGTCATACAATAAGTCTGTGGGAAAACCAGGGAATAAAAAAAATAATCAGATCTCCTGACTCAGCCCAATGCTCAACCACAAAACTATGTTCCTTCCTTCTTCTATTAGTTTTTAACCACATTAAGGGACATGCCACGGTTCCTTACAGGGGTGGAATGCGCCATGAGCATCTGCAAGCAAAGCAGATGCAAGAGCAACTTCAAAAGCCCCAACAGCTGCAAGGATCCCCAGACTAAAGAACTCTCCCCTGAGACCGAGATAAAACACTCACCAGCACAGAAGCTGAGCACTGGCCCTCATGACATCCCTACTTGTGTTTAAATGGGGCAAGTACTGCACTGTGGACACTCAGACACAAGGAACTCTGACTAGCCTAAAAAGAGTGGGAACGGTCATTGAAAAGATCGCTTTCCTACAGCAAGAGAGCCTGGAAGGCGACCACACGTCCAAGGACGGACCGTACAGTCCTCCTCTTCCACGAGATTGCTGGAAGAGTTTCTAATGGGATTCTCCAGCAAAGGAAGAACTAGTCACATGTTCCCACCGCAAACAGGATTATGACATTAGAAAAAGGCTGCTTATTAACAAGAAGCTTGTTTATAGCCCACACATTGATAGACTTGTTCTGCAGGAAGCAGCACCTTGCCCCACGGGACTGCCAAGGACAGTGTCTGCAGGGAGCATCTGCCATGCAAATACCACCATCAATGAAATGCTCTCTTTTTCATTTAGCCATCAATTATCTTGTGTTCCTTGGTTTGGATGTTCTTCTGCTATGCTCTTTTGGGTCCTCGAAGGGCTTGGGGGTACAGGACATGACTCTGCCCACATTAGCCACTGATGGTACACAAGTGCCATCTGCCCTAGAGTTGTACATAACTCCATCAGGTAGCTACAGTGAGGAAAATGCATGGATTAAAGAGTTAGTAATAGCCACACAACTTTCCACAGGTCGCTTGACATCTGGCCCAGTCCAGTGGTGACTAAAATAATGTTCAAGGATAAATTGGCGTTTCCGGTTCCCACCATAAAACCCACCACTGCTACTGGCTCCTCCTGTGGTGGCCTTGCTAGAGACGAGCCAAAGGAAGAAGGATGCTGATGCTTTCATAGCTAGGGCACCTGCAGAGGGCCCAAGAGTTGGAGGTTCAATTCTTGCCTTGATCGCAAGCTCCCTGTGTGACCTTGGGTAACTCCCTTAAATCTCTCTCTTGCAATTCCCATCTTTGAATTAGGAATACTTGCCCAGTTCAGCAGGCTGTTGCAAGGGTGAAGGGATTGTTGGTGGAGGTGATACAGCCTTCCCATCCATGATTTTACTGATATGAGTCAGTATCAATCAGCATTTTAATAAATAATCTCATTTCCAGGTGATCTCTCTCGGTACTAAGCAGGGCCCTATAGAGGAAGATATGCCCTGACACCACCTGCACCAGCCCTGCTCTGTCAGTCCTTTACAGTCCATCAGTCCCTCCCACCAGCTCCGAATCCACTTCCTGGAGGCTAAACATGCATGCGCTAGGGTCAGCATATCTTGAATGCATGCACCAAAACCAGCATGCACCCAGAGCAACTAGCTCTTGCCACTGAAAACCCAGATGGAAACTGATGTCATTTGTTTATCTGTCCTGATTTATTTAGGCAGAACTCAAATTGAGTCCAACCTTTGTAGGCAAGAGAGTCAGGCACCCCCTTGCTTTCCTGCCTGCCCTTAGATGCTTTAAAACAGAAGTTAACAACATTTTGGGAGCGGAAAATGAGGAGGAAATACAAGCTCTGTGCTCTGTAACCATGATTTCACCAAAGCCAGAAAGCAGCAGCAGGGCATGTGGTATACAGGAAGAGCTCATGCTCTGCCAGAGAGCAGCACAGCGCGTTTCTCCCTGAGCCATAAGCCTAACAGGGCTACACAACACAGTAAGGCAATGCCAGGGCAGCAATTCAGAGTAGAAGCGGCAGGAAGGTGAGGACCTTTCCTCTGCTGCAGCTGCCCCTAGCATGCAGGAACCACTGCTGGGGAGAGAAGGGAGTTTGGAGGGAAGTTGCAAAGAAAGATTGAGCTGGAAGGAAGACTGAGGAAGAAAGGGGACTTAATAACTGTGCATGGGAGGGATTTTACTGAGGGCATCCAGAGGCTAGAGGGTTACGGGATGAATGTTATAAGAGGACATCTGGCCTGAGGGTCAGGAACACGTCCTGGCAGAGGATGGAATATTCTCCCATGGGAATTCAGACACAGCCAACTGTTTGGGACCTTTAACACCCAGACTGGACAGAAACACTAGAAATGCCTCTTGCAGTGAATGATCCCATGTTGGCAGGGAGACGGCTGGATGATCTCACAGGACTTTTCCATTGCTAATGGCCATGAATAACTTACCCTTTTTCCTGGCCTGAGCAATAACATCTGCGGCGCTTTTGCTCATCACCTTGGTAATGTAGAGGGGGCAGTTGGTTTGGTTGGCAATGGTGATTGCCCGATTCACAGCCTCAGCCTCCACCTAAAAAACAAAGTCAGCCTGTTCAGGAAAGCCTGTTCATGTATCCAGTTCTTCTGACCCACCCCGTTAACACCTTTGCTTTCACGAGCACATTGGGGACACATGACTTGAGAAGACCGGGTGGCCTTTACACGACTTCCATGCCTCCCCACCCTCCTACCATACTCCGTCTGCTGGGGCTCAAGCCCTGCACAGGGCGAATCCTCCCCAACTTCTATGAGGGGCTTACAGCCTTTATGCCACTCCAGCACATTTAACAGGGGTTGAGGGGAACAAGAATGAGGATTTTTCCATGCCAAGACAGCTCACGTACCTACCAGTATCATCATTACTTGAGTGCTGGGAGCATGCTCACACAGCACAGAAATGGCCCCTGTCTCCAGCAGGGAAACATCTACCACTAAGTTCTTCTTTTCAGCCTCTCAGATTACCCGAGGCCCCCGAGAGGAGCAAGTCCCCCCCATACATCTTCCATCAGTTGTGAAATGCTGCACCTTGCATGAAGAAAATTTCTACTCGAGACTGCCGGGCTGTGCACCCTGAAGCAGGAGATGTGCTTTCCTTGATCACATCTAACCATGCATTTTAAACTGGTTTATTGATCCAATCATTGGCTATCACCCTCGTGCAGAGAACCAGCACGGTATCTATATGCACCACTAACATTCACCCATATTGCTCCTAGCCATTACGAGTCAGCACATTCCTATAACACACAAAAAGTAACTGAGCGTCGACTCAGCAAAACCATCCATGTCACGGAGGGGAGATGCAGACCAAACTGGCTACATCTCGCTTGCCCCCCCACCCTGCAGTATCCAAGGGGGGAGCAGTCACAGTGCACAGCTGCACAGACCCGCACCCTTATTGCCCATGTAAGTAGAGGCCCTTGTAAAGTCAGGAGAGCAACTGAATAAGCTGCTTTAAAAACCTGGCCCTAATAGTAATCCAGCCATGGTACATGACCTTCACAGATGCTTGGTAGCCTTAATGAAGAATTTGTTCAACCCAGCCCTCAAATCTAAAAATAACACAATAGTAATAATATTACCTCACTTTCTGGGCCTGATCCTCCATTCCTTGCATTCCTAAGTCCTGACTCTCAACTGAAGTCACACTAGGACAGCTCTGGAGACATGCCATGAAGAATGAGGGCCCCAACATCCCAGGTCTAAAAGCACAACTCTCTCCTAATAAGTGTGAACCTACTAAGAGACTCAAGCTGCTACCCCAGCCTTCCTGACTTCACCTGTGTGCATACATGAAATCCAGGTAGGAGCTCTAGGTTTCCTAAGGGCTGCACAGTTGCATCTCGCAGCTCCAGGTGAAGTAGCTATGTCGGCACGTGGGCTCATTGCCTTTATACAAAGAGGGAAAGAAACACACAGTTCAGCTGCCTGATCTCTCCACAGCAATAAGCTGACTGCAGCTCCTGCTGACACGAGTGGGTTTTGTATCTGCACAACAGTGCTGAAATGCCAGTCCTCTGGTTTGTGCAAACCTAAAGGCAACAAGTCATTTGGGGCATGCCTGTACAATGCCCCCCCTAACCCTAGAGCCACCGCCAACAAAATAACCCCAGGCACGCATCCCCACTTACATGGGCCATGGACTAGCAGTCAGGCTAAGGAACTCCAATCAGCTACCTCCAGGTTGCTAAAAGGAAGGCAGCTGTGATTTTTAAAAAACAGCCTGGGTTCTGGCACAGAAAGGGTTAAAATGCCACTCCAGTGCTGGTGACTAACTCTGCCCTAGGAAAGGGCTATGAGAGCTGCCAGCTCTCTTCTAAAATAAATAAATAAATAAAAAATGACATTTTAAGCCCAGGCTGGCCCACCCAAATGGAAAAGGCAATAAGAATGTTTTTCCTACAGTTTTCTCTGTGCTAAGAGCAGCACTTGAAGCTGGTGGCAAGAGCCAAAGGACACAAAAAAAAAAAATCCTCTTCCTAGTTATAAAGGACAGAAAAAATGGATGCTGTTCTCCTGCCAACCTGTACAGGCAATAGCAGGAGGTCAGCACCCACCCGCTCTGGCCCCCAACTCCATGGTCTCCGTCCACTGACTTCATCGAACGATAGGTACTACACTGACTTCATCGAACGATAGGTACTAAAACTATCGCTTACTTTCCCCAACTTGCATGCTCATCACCCTACACCAAGCAGAAGCTGGGAGAGGCCCGGTGAATGGCAGGTGGGCAGAGATGGTGCACCAGCAGCTCGTTAAGAGCATCAGGGTGGGAATCCCAGGACTGTATTACTGGATTTCCTGCCAGCGACTGAAGAACCTCAGCCTAACTTTGAACATCTGGCAAAATGGAAGAGCCAGGATTTAACTGTGGACAAGCCACCTGCAGAAAATAAATGAAGTTCTCATCTGCTCGACATCCAGCTCTCTCACCGACTCACTGGAGATCCCTAGTTGGGCAGTCTCTCTCTCTCCTTCAGTTGCCCCACCCATAAAATGGAGCCAATAGTCTTCATTCATCCTTGTCAGAGTGAGAAGGCGATTCTAGAGCTGATGGCCCTGCCCTTGCAAGATGCCAAGTGCTTCAGTCCCCGGTGCAGTCTGTGAGAATTGCAGCAGGTTTTAACCGCATTCAGAGAAGGAACGTTTATGTAACTGCTGCAAAACACTGGGAGGTAGACATAAAGCAACCAAACAAGGGGACAGCTCATGCAGAATTAAAGGCCCTTCGTCTCTGTAGGACAAACTTTTAAACAGCTGGATAGTCCTAGAGCATTTTAAGGCTTCACTCCTCTGAGGTACTGAGCACCCTCATCTTCCAAGGCACCCAACAGGAGCTAAGGGTAGTCAGGAGCGTGAACTGCAAGTGTCACAGATCCCCCCTCGCTGCCAACATCTGTTACTGTTCTCCTTAGGCAAGCAGAGAAATACATAAAGGAACAGAGGGGTGGGTGGGAAATCTGGATGCAAACGTTTGCCTACAACTTCCAGGAAACAAACAATCCCAACCTCCAGAGCCAACTTTAACAGGGAAAAAATGAGAGCATTCATGTTCCAGTTGAGCTGGGCATTGTTTCCCTCAATCCACAGCAACATTTACTCTGGAAGATTTATGTCCAACACTGAAATGTCTTTGGATGCTGCTTGACTGAGCGGAAGGGAAGAAAAATAAAGGGGGCGGCACATGTGAGAATGATCTCACCCACCAGACGTCCAGCAGGACCGCATATGGCAACATCAGCAAATCCTTAATACCTTGGAGGAACAATAACAACAACTTTAAACTTAATGGATGGACTTCCCAGAGCCAAACTTCCAAGGAATGACACCCAACCTGGAGATACCGAGAGCACATTACCAGTGGAAACTCACCAAATCCTGGGACTCTTAGGCTGGGATTTTCAAAGGACTCCGAGAAAGCTAGATGCCCAACTCCTGCTGAATTTGGGTACTTAACCCCAGAGCACTTAAGCCCAGGAAGCTCCAGTGATGAAGGCCTAGGGACTTTTGAGACTTCGAGTCATTTCCCTGCTCTGCCACATGCCTCATGTGATCTTGGAAAAGTTACTTAGCTGTTCTGGGCCACCCTTCCTCAGTATAGAAACCAATTGGAAAAATGCTCCGAGCAATCAATTGCACAAATATGAGTTGGGGATGATGACTGGCTGCAAAAGAGCCAAGTGTATACTGAGCTGTATTAATAGAAGTACTGCCTTCATGTCAAGGGAAGTGATTCATCTACTCTAGCCAACACTGAAGGGGTCTCATCAGGAGCACTGCGCCCACTTTTGAATTCTGCACTTAAAGATGTAAAAAAATTGGAAAGAGTCCAGCAGAGCGCAAATAAACTGGAGGCTTAGAAAACTTGATTTACAAAGAAAGGTTGGAACATCTGGGATTATTTCATCCAGAGATGAAAAGACTGAAGGGGGCATTTGATAACAGTCTTCAAATAGCTGAAGGGTGGTTACACAGAAGATGGTGACAGACTATTACCTTTAGCTGCAGGGGATGGGACAAGGAGTAATGGTCTTAAACTGCAACAAGGGAAATTCAAGCTGTGTAACAGGAAAAAAAAAAAACTTTCTAACTCAATCTCACTGGAAGTTTAAGAGAAGGCTGAAGACACTTGACTGGGATGGTTTAGTCAGGAATGAACCCACCTTGACTAGGGGGCTGGACTAGGTCAGTGTTTCTCAACCAATGGGTCGCAAGAATATTTGAAAGGTTGAGCAAGTCCCAGAAAAATGCATGAAAGGGACTTCTCGGGATGACTGGAGGCAGGAGGCGCGTGTGCGTCTGCACGTGCAGACACATGGGGCCAGCATACAGTGAGGCCGGGGCATGGAAGTGGCCCCAGCTGCTAGATGCAGGTAAGTGTATGGGGAGCAGGGGTTGGAGGTCCAGGGGACTGTCTGGAGGGAGAGTGGGGGCAACACTCACCGCTCGCACACTGGCTCAAGTGGGATGGGGGCAGTGGGACCGCGGGTCAGGCATCAGCAGGACCAGTAGGGTGTGGGTCAGGACAAGCCATTGATCTTGGCAAATGGGTCCTGGTAGGAAAATGGTTGAGAACCACTGGACTAGGTGACTTGTGAGGCCCTTTCCAGCCCTACTTTCCTACGAACGCCAAGACTGGTGTGCAGGTTCCCTTACAAGCTACCGTGACAATTCAAAGGCCTCATTGCCAGAGCGGTGAACACCCAGAGGTCCCACTGGCTTGAGTGCTCATGGTGGGCTCTGCTAATGAGGCTTCAAGGCCTTGAATCTCTGGGCCATCCAAAACAAGCAGGTGCTTTTGAAGCTGTGGACCATACTTTTTCTATTTCCTAGTTTTCAAAGCTGCAAGACACAGCTGCTACTACTACTTTTAAGGATCTTCATCCTGAGATCTTTGGATGGGGTGAGCTGGGAAGACAGTTTTGTCATAATCTATTATTTATAGTCAGGGGGCATACTGAACTGACAACTGCTCCCAACAGTAAATGCCCATGACCCCTTGCGTTTGGGAAAGCCGGTGTCTCTTACAGCATAAGAAGCAAATGTATTTTGGCCACACGAAGCCAGGCATGAGGCTCTTACTGGCACAATGCAAAACATGACTGGAGAAATCAATAAAAACAGGAAGAGTTTCTCACCTCCTCAGGTCTGCTCAATACGTGCCCTTCAGGGCCTGTGATCCCCAGTTCCAGAATCCTCTGCTGCTCCTAAGACAAAAAAAAAAAAGCAAGAAAGCTTAAAACAATATCAACTCTGATTCTAGGGGCTACAGGTATTTGGAAAAAGCAGATACAAGACATCTGTGCTTGCTAAAGATCGCTAGGTCCTTTCCCCAAGAGTATTAGAGCTGGCACCCTACATACTCTTAGCTCTGCACAACCTTCCTGTTTCCATCACAGGTGATCACATAAACCTGTCACTTGATTTTTTCTTCACCCCTCAGGTTTCGCTCTGAGTTTGGGGCTTGAAAGTGATTAAACGATGAGGCTGCATGCTGAAAGCCTCTGAAACTTCAGGCTCTGTCTGGCTTGGCTGCGCTGTGTACAAGAAATGACAAAGGTCAGAGACAGGCCCCAATATATTATGGTTTTAACACTTCTACTGCAAGTCTGGCTAAAAGTCAACCAGGCATAATAAGCCCCTTTGTTCTAGGTGCTGTACAGACTTAATGTCTCTTTGCTACCTCTGCTAACTGGATATGTGATATCATTACATACTTCATTATATTACCGAGTTACATCTCAGCTTTGTACACGGCACGGACTGTGCTGACTGATACAGAACCTTTATAGGCTTTAGTAATTTCATGCAGCGAGTCTGAAGAGAGGGATTTGTAATTTAAACACCAGCAGCTAATATTCTGCAGAACAAAGGGATGAGATACCTCAGCAATGATGTCACCGTTCTCAGCATGGACTTGAGCAATGGCACCAATATCACGGATTACACTCAGGACCTCATATATCTAGAAGTAAAAAAAAAGGAAGAGACATTTTGTTACATGCCTTGCTGTTCTTACATTGCACTCTAGTGGTCTTGTAGCTATTCCTACTAGTTTGAAGCATCCTGCAAAACAGAGACATGGAAAATGACTGAGGTAGAAAGACCTTCAGGTGTCAGCTTCGTAGCGGCACTAGAATATACTAGAATGCAACACACAGGATCAATTTGGGGTCAAATGCCTGGCCTCCTTGGTAAAGAGCTTTGAGAGACACAGGTGGGAAGTACTTTTTATTATAAAGACCTGGCTATTGTCCTATTACGATGCAGAGAACAACCCTGACAATCTGGCAACAGGCATCTCAGGCTGAGAAATCTGCAAGTGAGGAACCCAAGGCAGTGGTCACTTATTTTGACCACATAGTAAATACAGATAGCTTCTTACTTGATTTCAAGTGACATCTACACCCTCCACCCTCTCCTTTTCAGAAGAAAAAGCCTTCCCTAACCTGTACAGCTCCGTAATGAAACCTGCCCAATAATTGATGCGTGTCAGGAGAAACTGTATGGGAAATTTCTACCGGTCCCAGTGATTTCAGTGGTAAAACCATAAAGTGCTTTTTCAACTAAAAACCATACAAAATAAAAACCTGCAGCTCCTTGCACTGAGTTTTAAGTTCTAGTGTACCCCATGCAGCACATACCAAGGCTGTGGATGAGGACATCTGCACCGCTAACTTCAATAGTTTTTGTACGCAGGTGTGTAAATTATTCCAAGGCCCAGAGTGAACAGATGAGTTCCTATTCTGTGATAACTATTCATGCTGTGCCCCACTACAGATTCTGGCCACTAGATAGCCAGGGAGCAGATAACAGCCTGTTTCCATTGAGCAAATGGCAAACCTGGGATGGAAGCAGACAGATGACACATCCCAGCGTCAAATTACACTGGTATAAGTTACTACTGATTTTCCTGAAGTAACTGTACACTGGTCTTAAAGACATTACCCTGTCTACCCACTCCTTATTTATGGTGGTGTGAACCCTGGCAGAGCTAGTGTAAATGTTAACCACTTATGCTCTTAGATCCAAAGGTTAATGGTTCAGTCCCTCTGATTACACTACTGGGGTGGTATTACACATGCAGAGACCACAGATTAATGAAGGTTCAGGCCAGAGGGGATCATTAGATCATGAAGCTTAACTTGCTACACAGCAAACAGGCCATTAATTATAACCTCTGTATCGAGCCCAGGAACTTGTGCCTAGCCAAAATATACTTTGTGATGACTGAAGTGTAACATGTGAACATCAAGTTTTCCTACCTGCGAGTCAGTGAGCTGAAAGCGATCTTTGAAGGCCATGTAAACCAAGAAGGAGTTCACACCTAGTAGGAACAAAACAAAAGACATTAGCTGACTGCTGAACACCCACAGGAAAATACAAAGCACAGTTCAAAACACTTGGCAGTGAGAAGAAATGGTAGATAAAAAAAAATTAATAAATTGCACTTTGTTGCCAACTACACATACACTTAAACAGATTGCAACGTGAAGCCAGCATCATCTTAACCATGTGGCATTTATTAACTCAGCTGATGAAAATGATGGAGCCTGCAGTGTAGGAGAGGGGACAGCTAACCCCTTAGGGCTCCACTTCACATTGAAAAGGAATAAATCTTTGCATTCAGCTCAGTGGGAGGCTGACCAAAAAAACCCAACAACTCCCTCAAGCGGCTGAGGCCTGGCTGCCTGCGAGAAGGCTGGGAAATACCTAACTGAATGCAAGTCCTCCTATAAAAGCACAGTGCAAACCAAGACGGGGAGAGTCCAGCGGGCCTCCCCTTCCCTGCATTTTCTAGCACACCGGATGGTAAAAATCCTAAACCACCTCATGTGGGAAAACCAGCCTCAGGCTTTAAAGGGTTTTCTGGGTTTTTTGTTTTGTTTTGTTACCACAAACAGGATGGAAAACTTTCCGAGCCTGGGGATGAAACATCAAGGAAATGAGAGATGGGAAAAAACGATGAGGTCATCTTGCTTGCTCCCCACCTTCACATGCCAACACAGGATTGATGCTCCCGTAGCCCGTTCTTCACTCACAGGAGTTGAACTCTGGGGACTTCCTGGCTGACTGCCCCTGCATAACTCACCATAGGAGTGAGTTTACACTGCATGAGGCCAGTAGGTCTTGTCCTGACCAACATGGGAAGCAGCAGCAGCCCACAGCAACCAGGGACAAGACCACCGTACTCCTCTCTTATCCCCCAAGCAGAGTCTCTAGTGCTTACCTGCTGAGATGTAGAACAGCACCGCTGGTTTCCCACTCCTGCCTTTTACAATACGCTCGCTTCAAGTTGTCCCCTACAAGCCTGCCTCCTGACATCCCATGTGCAAACTGAAACCAGGCACCGTTCTGAATTCTGATCCACCATTACTTTACCCCAAGCACATTTATTTTAAAGGTACAATAAAATCATTGGCAACAGGCAGGTTTTAAAAAAAAAAAATGGGGGTTGTCTCCCCACTCCCTTGACGGTGTTATTTTTTCTTTAATTCTCCCGAACTTACCATGGTCTTTCACGAGGGCTTCCATCTCCTCCTGAACACCTTTATGCCACTCTGTGATATCCACGTGGAGGGAGTAGTCACAGCAGGACTTGCTATCCGCCCATTCTCGCCACTGGTCAAACGCGGTGAGCAGGCTGGACCCTGGCTCTGGAATTACGTGATCAACTGAAAAGCAAGCAAATAAGCGTATGTAGTAGTAAGTGCGTGTGACAAGAGGGCTCCAAGAGCCATCCGAGGTGCAGATCACACTTGCCACTGGCTGCTGAGAGACAAACTTCTTGTCCCGTTCCAGAGCAAATGCAAGCCTGAAGACACTACATTTTCCCACTCTACAATTTGATTCCAAGCAAAAGCAGGAGGAAAGAGCTGAATGACTACAGATGGCTTCACTGCCATATTACAGGGATGAGCCAAACAATTCCTAGTTCAAAGCCCATGCAGGGAAGTCAAACAGCTACAGAGAACTGCATAAACAGTGCTTCCCTATTACCTATCAGGCTGAGGAATGAACAATGACATGGGTAATAACCCCTGAAGCATCTCTCAGTCACTTTCAATAACCAAACTGAGCAATTTATGGAAATGGGAGACTCCTCCCTAGCTTGCTCCCACGGCCATATGGCTGAGGGCAAGTGAAACTCAGAGGCATCCAAACCCCAAGCCTCTGGGCTTGGGCCTGCATGTAGGATGCCCGCCAAAGGATTTTGAAGCATCTGAAGCCCCAGGCAGGGGTGGAGGATGCTTGCCAGTAGCAGGGCCACATGTGGTTTTGAATGACTCATGAATTTGGAATGGTTTTGGCCAGTTTGACTTAGGATATGAAAAAAAATTTCCTTAAAAATAAAAAACAGAACATCCCTGTGCCCCCTGAGAAACTGGGGAAGGTACCCAGTAAGTTCCAAATATCTCTTTATCACATGCTGTACTAGCCAGTAGCTCCAACAGTGAGTCAGGAGATTGGGCTAAGCATTATACAAGCAGGGAGAACAAGTTCCTAGGATATTTGCTGAGCATGTGCAGTGACAGGACTCAGTCTGAATGCCTCTCTGTAGATACTATCCTGTGCAATCCCCTCAGGCAACCAGGTCCACAACTAGTACAGTCTTTATAAACCAGAAGCCCAGGATCACAATTATGAACTACATGTGCTAATGAGAAGCAGCCTGGAGTAGAAGGCAGGAGATCTTGGAGTCTATTCCTAGATCTACCTGTGGCAAGGCCTCTCTTCTGTATGCTTCGTTTTTAATTCCACATCCCAACAACTCTGGATTGGGATCACAATGCAGGACGCCAAAAGAAAGTAAGGAAAGTACACAGCATCTCGGGGCTGCACTGAGCTAACCTAGAGTGTGAGGAGGGAATGGAAGCAGGTGGGGGGAGGACTTGGCTGATTTTACTTCAGGCCAAGCGGGAAAAAAAAGAAACCTGCTCAGTTACCAGCTGAGAAATCAGAGCATTTTATTTTTAACATTATTGTTCAGGATCGGGACTGCAATCAGTTCAGCAATAAGCTTTAAATCAGGGTTAAGTGGAAAAGCTGAGATAAAAAACAGCATCCTCTGGCTCTGTTAGCTTTTGCTGGATCACAAAACTCTGATGCTTCCCCCAAGGCGGCCAAGGAAGCCTGGATTTACATGTGGGGAGGTTATCAAGCCACTGCAAAGACACCATCACTTCTAAATGACTTATTAGCTGCAGTCATCTGAATATACAACAGTGTCCTCAAACTATCTGAGGAGCAGATGCTCCAAGAGGGAAAAAGAGGACTGTAATAAAGCAACCATTCTTATTGCACAAATTAAAAGCCTAGGCGGTCTCCTCTGCTCCTGGGGTATGTGACTAACTGAAGAGTGTTTTGGTTAAAGGAGCTGTGCTGCAGCCGAATGCATGGAGCAGGCCTACGAGGAGTGGGATGCAAGGCCTCCCTTGGTCAGAGAGACCCCTTCGTGGTCTAGGTGGTCACTGGACACCAGCCCCTCATCCTTATATATCTGCAGGAGCCCTACAAAAAGGTCCAGGCAGCCCTGGCTCCCAGGCTGGTCGCCAGGGCCAACCTGGATTTGTGGTCGAGCTCCTGGAGCCCTTTCTTTCTGCATCACGAGCAGAATCGCAGCTTAGATCAGCAGTGGCCACGCACTGCCGGACCATCAGCTACTTCAAACGCCGAGGGGACAAGAGCCAGACCCAAGGCAGGGAAAGGAGAAGAGGTGTAGGGGCAGGATTAGGATCCAATAGGAGAATGAGGGGCCTGGAGGCCTGTGGGGAGGGTAAGGGAGAAACCAGGAATGGCAAGGGAAGAAGACTAGAAGCCGTGGTGGTGAGCAGGACTGATTGCCGGGGGGTGAATAAGAGGACTGGGAATCAGTAGGCCAGGGAGACTGGGGAAGGAAGAGGACTGGCAGGAGCTGGACAAAGTCAGGCTGAGAAAACGAACCAGGGAGATGGAAGACTTAGAAAGATGCTAAAAAGAGACTGTACAGGTGGCCTAGCAGACAAGTGGCCAAGAAAAATAAACTATGACTCTGTAAGGACCAGAAACCACAGGGAAGGCATGCCTGGGCATGGCCAAAGAGCCTCACTGGATAAGGAGCTGAAAAAGGCATAACTGGAACTGAGTGGGCACTGTACCATGCTACTAAAGTGTGGTTAGAGAGAAAGTGTGTATTAAAGCCTTTCAGGTGAGAGTGGGACAGCAGAAACCTTGAGTACATCTTTTACAAAGAAACACAGAGGACTTTGTTCACCCAGATCACAGACGGTAGCAATAAACCACAAACCCCTGTATCAGATTTCAGGGCTTTACCTGTCCTTCCTCTGACCCCAAGCTGTAATTAGGCAGAGGAATCTCCTTTTTAGGTGCACAGGTTTGAAAACGCAGGCCAAGAGTCCTTCTGCACCTCAGGTCTGCCCACTAATATAAAGGGCACCAATAACGGATCACACACTATGAAGCGAGAAGGCTGGGCTGCTGCACATCCAGATGAAATGCTGCATGCAAGTGCAAAGCATTAGTGACAGTACACACCAGGAAATGCTGCTCAGGGCACCAAGGGGTTAACACCATGCAGCTCCAGATTGCAGCACAAAGCCCCCAGGAATGACTCCAGGGTCCAAAATCACAACTTTTATCACCATCTTATTTCATGTGCTGCCCAAGTATGAGTAATAGTAGTGGGGGTGGGGGTGGGGGAGAGGAGGAGCACTATCTGATCTCTGGCAAAGTCCAACCACAGCTGGTAATAATAAGGATAAGAAAGCGGAGGTAGCAGCGCACATGTAAGAGAAAGTCTACTCCAGGGATTAGGAACATCTTGCAAGGAAGCAGAGCTGCTGACACATCATATGGCACTTCCCTCTAATTCTGTGCCAGTGCATGGTTACTCCAACTCGTGGTACTGGCTCACTCAAACCTAGGAACAGCCGTCAATCGATTGTCACCATAAAAATAATATAACACTATTAAAAAGTCACCTCAGCAGTTCTTTGCAGCCAAAAGATGTTCACCTCTGTGCTGATTTTGATTGTGCCGAAGGACAACCCCGTGACAGAGCCCCATTGTGCTGAGCTCTGTACAAACCAGACAGCAGATGCTCCAAGGCACTTGCAACGCAAGATGACCACACAGCCCACAGCAGGAGACGCTGGACCATGTACTGTAGCATGCAGAGACTCTGATAGCGGGTACATTAGAAACACAGGACAGATGTAGGTTAGGCAGCACTTCCAGACCAGACACGTTCACAACCAGCACTGTACTATATTGGGCATTACGATCTGGCTCCAGTGACAGATGAACATTGATCAGACAGACCCTTTGGCTTTTAATTTGTTACTTTTTAGTGCAGTGCATAATTAGCTTGTGGAACTTATTACCACAGGAGGCTGTATGGGGGCAGATAGTAGAGCCAGGTTTAAGGGGGGACTGGACAGATTAATGGGGGAATAGATCCATTAATAGCTATTAAACACAACAGTCGGTGATGTCAGAAACAGGATACTGGGCAAGATGGATCGGTCTCACCCAGTGCGGTACTGCTTACGTTCTTATATATTCTCCAGTTCGGTTCTCAATTAAATATTGTGTTGGCTGAAACAACAAGGGAATAAATCATGGCCCAAACTGCGACCTAGGACAAAACCAAAACATCCAGCGAACTCCTCAAAAGGGCAGGACAAGACCAGATGGGGCCTAGGCCTGGTTTTGCACTGATGAACTACTCTGATTAAGGATGCGTTTTTACTAACTTAGTTAAAACAGTATCACCCTACCACAGACTCTGATACCATTATAAAGGGTATACTGCCCTCATGGCATCTTCACGTCAGTGCAAATAATAACATTAGAGTGGTTCACATCAGTATATTTAAAACAGCATAATCTTTGTGTCTAGGCAAGACCTATGAAGAGGCAATGGTATTTTCCCGGTGTCGTTCACATGCAGATGAAATCTTGGTATTTCAGCCCAACTCTCCCTTATTTCAGCCCGAGAAGAGCTTTAGAAACACCCAAAATAAACCTGAAGCATTAGCCTAGAGCTACTCCAGATTCAAATGCTACTTCAACTGTCCCATGTCCAGCCACAGCAAGGAAGGACCAGCATGTTTTATGCTTTGGGAAGACGGCAAGATAAAAGCAGGGTGTACGTGGTCCGCTCTCAGACCCCAAAACTGAAAAGGGTCCTTAGAGCAGTGATGCTTTTAGGACTCAAGGCAGTCCTCATTAGACTTGAGGCATCCCTTGGAAAATGCCAGCTCTTAGTTCTCATTTGTTTTTTTGACTACAGAAAAAATAGTGGAGGAATTTTTCCAACATAAAATCTCACTAAGACCACAGCAGATCCAAATATTTTTCACACTGTGGATTCCTATTTGAAATCTCTGGGTTCATCTTGTGAATCATGTTTGCCGTGGCACCCTGGTTGAGAATCACTGTCTCAGAGGTTTCCTTCAACTTGTTAAGGCAACAATAAAAGCCCCATATAAACAGTGTGTAGAGCCACCAAAATCGCTTCAGTAGCAGTTAGCCATCGTAGTTAAATAAGACTGGCTCCTTCACCTTGAAATTAAGGACCAGGTAGCATACCTCGAATAAAGAGCTGCTCTTGCTACTTGTGGTATATAAGCCCCACTTCTACTACTGCTGATGGGAGGTGTGCCCATACTCA